CACGGGGCATCTCGCTGTCTCAAGCTTGCAGGGCCCATGCCCAGAGACATAGTACATGTGGTCATTTTATCTTTCTCCTGTGCCTCATGTCTGCTTCATTCTTAGACCTGTGGGAAGAGCCGTAGACATGGGGGAAGGTGTCCTCCCCGCCCCAGAGCAAACCTCGTGGTACCCACCACTGACGGGTGGGTCGTGGTGGAGAAGGGATACACGGGGTAAAGAACATCCTTCCTGCAACGTGACCAGGAAGCGGACAGGACATCCAGTGGAATCACTCCCAGGGGCTGAGTGGCCTGGTGAGGTCTCTGTGCTTGTCACAGTAATGCATCTGATCACCAAACTGTGGCCCCCCTGACACCCCTCACCATGCCCACACAGCACCCAACCATACCCACAGACAAGCGGGGAAGGGGAGGGGCCACACGCCGTCCCCCCTACTCGCCTGCTGCCCGCTTTCCATCCCTGCGTCACAGACAACACAATATAACCGCTGACCAGAGAGGTGCCAGTTACTGTACAGAATGTCACCACTTCCTACAAGTCCCACGGCACATCTTCTTCAGGGAGTCGCATCCCAGCTACTCAGTGAGAGCCAGTATGGTGGCAGAATGGCCACCGAATGTATTGCGATTCCGCCACATTTCCCAGCTATGAGGAAGGAGACCAGACGCTGGAGCCCAAACCAGCTCGTCACGTTCCTAACAAAGACGACAGGCGGTAATCTTTACAATTAACTAAGGACCGGATTTGCGCCCAAAATTGACATTCGTCAAGTTCTCTAAAAGTTCAAATGCGGGGTGTCTCGAAATGACTTTTTAGTGGTGATCAGTTGGATGTGCAGTATTAGCAAAAGGGCTTAACAGTTATCTTGCACATTCGTATGCTAATGCCCCAGAAGCTGAGAATGGTATTAAGCGATTTTCTATTTCTAACAAAGGAAAATGTCCTTGAAAATACATTTATTCTGCAGTCAAAGGGTTTTCCCCCCTTTTCTCAGAATAACAGGTAGCATATTGATTTTAAAAGGCAAAAGACACAAGTAAGATGCCATCTGACTTGTAAATGCATATTAACTGTACATTGCAAAGTGTTTTTTTTTCTTTATTTTTGAGAACGTTAGAACCTCAAAGTAAAGAAACCTGACAAAGCATTCCAACCAGCCGGCTCTCGTGAACATGGTATGAAAGACTCCGTGGCGAAATTAAACACACTCGTCTAATCGCCGCCGGCTCTGAGGACAAACGAGGAAAGTATGAGGACCCCCAGAGACCCAATGAGGGTTATAAAAATGTAGAATTCAGGGGGAAAAATAAAACTCCCCTGTCACTGATGAGCAGGGGATGGGAACAAGAGGACACTAAATGCTACATCCCCATGATGACGCCCAATTCAGGGTTGCTCTGAGTCAAAATAGAGACACAAATTATATAACTTAGTACAGACATGGTAACACAATGGTATTGGTTTCATACAATGGCAGACATTGGTTACAATAGTATCGTAACAACCACTCATTAGCCACGAATGGTCCCTTTAAAGGGAGAAGGCCATGACCCTACATGGTAAGATCAGTCTCATTACAGACATTTATTACTGGCTCCGCACTCTTCCTGTGGAGGCGTGACGGAGCGTGTGAACTCACTGTGACACACACTATTTTCCTATGGACACACAAGGAGATCTTACTGTGTACTCGATCCTGTAGAGTTCTGGGTCAGTCTAGGAAGACACAGAGGCAGCCCACACATCAATGCTCCTGTTCTACATGTTTCCCTACAGCGGATGTAACGCTTGCCAATTAAGGGCTCAGCCCAAGGGTGTCTGTAGCCGTCTCTATGGAAACGGGATGCCTTGCTCCGTAGGTGTGTTTGCACGCTCATTTTTAAGACTGTGGAACCAACATATAGCTTTCTGGTCTGAAGCCAGGGCTGCTGACCAGGACGAGGTGCAGTGGAGTTTGGTACTCCTGAGGGCAACAGAGGTCCGCAGACGCACGGCACCTGAGCCAAGCCTGCGTTGGCGCCCCTCGCAGAGAGGGATTCGGAGTGGGAAGAGGCGTCCTGGGGCAGCCCCCGCACAGAAGGATTTGGAGCAATTACCGGGCCATGGGAGCCCCGCACCAGGGGAGAGAAACTAGGGCTCGGCAGTGCAGAAGGCATCACAGGGTTCTGTGAGGCCACGTTCTGAACGCCCATGGGGACAAGTACCTGCCACGTGCTCACGGCGTGTCAAGAAGCCACGTGGCACAGCAACGGGGGTGGGGCTCCACGGTGCGTTTGTAACCAGAGCAGCGGGCATTCCTGGGCTCCAGTCCAGGGGGGACGGGCGGAGACTGGGCTGTGGGTGGCCATCCCCCAGCACCACACCCAGATGGGGTACCTCACGGAGCACCTCTGCCGTCTTTTAAACTGACGTCACCGCCGTGGTTTCATGTGAAATATCAGAAACGATGGAAAAGTGACTCACGTTCGTGTCTGCTTACTTTCCATCTCCCTGCGTGTACGTGTCCGTTTGTATTTCTCTCCGTCGGAAGCTTAGGAAAGGATGAGACGCAGATTTGTGCTTGTGGGAGATGAGGCTGCACAGGGGGCTGCACAGAGCGTGACCCTCCAGCCTTGCAGAGTCTGGCTGAGACCCCTGAAGCCAGGGCACGATCATCCATCGTCACATGAGCACCCGCCGTGACACTCAGCCCACCTCCTGCAAAGCCCGCCAACACAGCTGCGCCATTGGCTCTCTTCCCAGCTCAGGGCCCGCGCCAGGGTCAGCTTGTACGACTGCTGGTGTTTCACCATCTTTCCAAATCTGCCCAGTCTCCTGGTATTTGCTTTATGTGACTTCACGCAGCCTTTTTGGGAAGAATCCCAGTGGAGGATCTCATAAAACACAGAGTGTTCTGGATTCCTCCAAGTCCTTGTCAGCGCATCCGGGCTGGATCTTCCCGGCAGGGACACGCCCAGGCATTTGTGGGTCCTGCCTCCTGCCTCCTGCTTGGATGCATGGGGCACTCCGGGGTCTATGTGCTGGCGAGCACTCGGTTATGAGACCCCCCTCCAAATGGCCCCCTGTTCTCCCATGATTTCCCTCTTTGCAAGCCTTCCCTCGCCACCCCCCCACAACGCCATGGCCGTCAGTTTTTCACGTGGGGGTTAGGGTTGGGGTACAGACATTTATTACTGGCTACATGTGGTTCGCAGCACGGCGCTGGGCTGCGTGAAATATCTTTCCTGACACTTCCCGGTCCACTTGAAAAACCTTTTCATTATCATGAAAGGATTCTTAAAACCCACCCTCTGTCCAACTACGGATCGAAGCGAAATAAAGCCAAGAGAAAGCAGGCACAGCTGGCCCAAGGCAGAGACATCTCAGAAAATGGCCCTTAAAAAGAAAAGCCTCCTAGGAAAACGTCAGTCTCTCTAGACCTTGCTTGGGTGGGGAGCACCTTCAAAATAGCAGGCACAAGATGAAAGCATTTTGTCCGGAGTCACTAATGTCCTTCTGCCCTCCTGCCTTCTGTCCTTCTGTCCCTCCCCCACCCCCACCGAGGGGAACTCTAACATGCCGCCTCCGAGCCCCCGGCATGCTGCGGGCGGGCACACTTGACATCTCCCCGGGAGGGGGCCTTACGGGGGTCAGACGGAATAAATGTGGTTATTAGGTATGTTGGACTGGGCATCTTGGTCCTGCGGGAAGCCACCCATTGGGCCCCAGTGCATGAAGTCAGGACTGTGACTGTATCATCTTAGCTCATCATGAATCAACCACAAGCCCCTGGACACCCATACTCAACCCCTGCATCTGTGCACTCCCAGTGGGGTGCACGACCCACCCACCTCCCCTCCAGATGAAAACCACACACACACACACAAAAAGGACTCAGAGCGTTTCCTCACAAAACATACAGCTATTTTCCAGAGGAATAAAAATCGAACCCGACTGAGCAAGTACTTAAGGCTTCGCCGACTCATGTGTGAACAGGAGCATTAGGCAATAAATTAATCTTTAAAGCGCTGGGAAAGTTTGTTTCTGCACCAGACAGAAGGAGCCCTCGATCCTCTTAACGAGCCCACGACACAGATCCCGGGGGACCTGGAGCCCGGTCAGCGGCTCGGCCCTCGCTGCAGACCCAGCCGCGGTGTTAAGCCGCCCTGATTGTTCTTGGCGGCAGGAGAACCCTCTGCTGCGGGGCTTAAATCTGAGGGGGAACATGCATCCTAGAAGCTCATCTTGTTCTCTGGAATTCTGATTCCAGCGCAGCCCACCTGAAAGCTAAAGGCCACTGGAGGTGCTAAGAAGGAAGAGATGCTTTTTTGGGGGCGGGGGGGTCGCGTACACACACAGGGAGGACAGTGAGCCCAGCCCCTCCAATGTGGTGAAATCCCGAATGCCTTCCGACTTGGCCCAATTGCCCCCTGGCAGGAATAACCGCCCTGACCCGGGGCTGTCTTTGGCAGCCTTGCAGAGCAAGGCCGTGTTGAAAGATCCTTCCATGTCCCTGGAACCCTTGCGTCATTCCCGGTCACCACGGTGGGCAGGCTCATGCAGGAATTGACTCGTATCCACACACAGACGTCACGCTTTGCTTCTCATGCCCGGCCTGGGCATGGAGACAAATGAACTTCCGCAGGGCACAGGACCACGGAGGGGGCGTCAGGGTCACCAGCCTGAGTGTTGGGGGTCCCGCCTACACACCCTACGCCCTGCTTGTCAGCATCCTGCCCCGTAGGAAGTCCCGCTTTTCCCTAGGAAAACATCTTGGGCCTCATTCAAGCTCCCTGTCGGCCAAGGGACCTTTGGTTGCAATGGCCTTTCTGGACAAAAAGGGCAGGGGCACAGCCCCACATGGGTATTATCCCTAGAGCATCGGAATCTTCCCAAACACCATGACACAGGTCTCCTGTGTCTTTCCCCAAGAGCTCAGGGAAGGCCTGCACATGGGGACCGAGTGGGCCACCCTGTTTCCAGAGTGACAGAGAGACACAGGCATGGCTGCTACTTACATGGGGAGCGGCGGGCAGACCGTCTCGGGGGCTGTCCTCTGCGGGCCTTACTCGGTGGGCAGCAGCATGTGCGGGCACAGCAGCGAGGCGGGCGGTTCCCAGAGGGGAGGAGAGGGGCGCATCGGCTCCGCCCTGTGAACGCATAGGAAGGAAGAAGCATCAGCGCCTGCACCAGCCCGTGCTGCGCTGTGGAAAGGGCTCTTCCTTGCCTCAACAATCCCCACGCCTACATCTTTCTCCTTTCCACCTCTCGGACGAACTCCTAGCCACCTGCAGGCCTCAGCCGAGCAGACACCACCTCGGTGAAGCCCCACTGGATTGCCTGATAGAGATTCACCTATTCCTCCATTGTCCACCACACAGCACTGGCCCCCTCCATAACTGTATCACTATTTGCAACAATGTATTTAGTTGTTCCGTTACTACCCGCCATCTGTCCTTCTCACAGGCTCCAAGGACAAGAAGGTGGGGGATGTGGTCCCTCACTGCAAGCTCTTAATAGAGCTGGGGTCAACAAACACCACCCCCAAGCGTTTCTGGAGCCCAGAAAGAATGTATCTGCCTCACTGTTGCAAACGGTTAAACCAAGAATACTGTGCAGCCCTGTGAAAAGGACAGAACATTCATATTTCAGGGCCCGTAAACAGGCTGTCCTGGAACAGGGCCCCATGCATTGCGACAGATGACTTGGCTCCGGAAGCTGACAATGTTTCTTAACCCGGCCCTTAAGAGAGACTCTTTGCGTCTCTGCAAGGCAGCCCTGCGGTGTCACGTAAACACAGCTTCGAAAACGCCACAAAGATGGCTGTGGACATTGCTGCACGCATATGCATATGACGCTTTTTCCTCCCCGACCTTCCCACAAAACCTAGCATATGCCTTGAAACAATGTGTTCACGTCGGAATCCAACCCTTACGCTTGAAAATACAAAGTATCATTCCACCGGGCAAACAGCCTCTACAAGGGGGCCAGTCGTTGGAAAAAGCAACTGACGTATCGATTTTTGCATAAGTGTGGATCTGGCCTTGCTGAGGTTCAGCTGCCGGCAAGAATGTCAGAGGGTCACCCCGTGTCCTGGAAATGGGATGTCCCCTGCCGCCCAAAGATGGCATTTGAAACTGCGATCTATCCCCGTGGTTGGTTCTTCGTAAAAAGGGACAGCGTTCTTTCTCTCCAGGATGGCAGTGAGCACCGTCTCCCTGGGCAGGGCCACCTCTTGCGTCGCTTCAGCCTGACCCCACTGGGCAAGACTCAGATCCTCTGGGCGTGGGCGGGCGCCATCGGGAGATGCCCCTTGCGGAGCAAGAGCAGGGTGACTGGTCACCCCAGCGTGTCCAGGACTAAGACATCCCAGCTTTTAAGCTCAGAGGGTCCCAGCTGAATGGGGCTGCGTGGCCACACCGGTTACTCGTGACAACTCACAGGATACCAAGACTGCTGACACTTAACGGCGCCCAGTTAGGGCTATTTTAGAAACTACTGGACTCCCCAAACCCTCTGAACACAGAGCTTTTCCCAGGATTTCTTTCCTGATACGCCCCCTAGGACTCCAGCTGATGACATTTCAGTCCTGAATCCGTCTACGACGCTAAACAAATAGCCCCATCGCGCCAGCAAGCTGAGACCCTAGAAAACCCCCCACAAATCACGGGACAGAGGTGTTGAGCTCATCTCCATAGGGCTCCACATGACCAGGCTTGGGGTAGAGGAAGACGGAGTGGTCACTGAGTGGAAAATCAGACAGCCAAGAGGACATGTGGGCGAACTCAGCGTCTCCACGTGGGACCACTCGCAGGCGAATTCTCCAACACCTGTTTACAGGTCAGTTCGAGAACCAGCACACAGACTGTGGACAAGCGGGGCTAGAAGAAAGCCGTGACCTCCCGGAGTTTCCCGCCACCTTCTGGAGCTACCCGAGGCCCCTGGCGGCACAAGACCTACCGCACGGCCTCCGGAGCCAGGCAGGGGCAGTCCATGAGCAGCACATCGCGCTGTCTGCAGTTATGTGCCTGTTGTCTACACAGAAGCCCCTGGACAGTAGCGATGGCCAGCATCATGGAATTATGAGCGAGGGTGAAAAAGAAAGTCCCCCAAGGCAGAGGTTGCCACCCTGGGAGCCGGGGCCCAAGCCCAGCCCACCTCCCCTTTGGGAACTGCAGCCTGAGTGTGCAAGCCCCTCCCAGGCTTCCCGCCTGCTGGCACGCACGGCCTCTCTCACACGGCCATCACAGAATCGGTGGGCCCCACGATCGTCGAAGCGGACATCTATGCCACCTTGTTGCCTGATCCAGAAAACGTTTCCCCACCCCTCACCTAGACGCGGGGACAGTGTGTTGTCCCCTGGTGCCTCGGCCCGAAGAACGAGAGGGGCTGCCCGTTTGCACAGCCCCACAGAGGGGTCTCGGTTGACGAGGCAGACGCGAATGGTAGAAGTATCGCAAAAGGCGTTCTTCACGATACCGTCTTGTCCTGCGAACACCCTGCCTCTAGACCAGCATCGCATGGGCAACTCGAGCACCTGGAGATCATGAACACGTATGACGGTGTGTGTACGGGGCCTTCGTGTGGCAGGCATTGGCTCTCGCCCATGTCTTCCCTGGCAACCCGCAGCACTCGGGGGAGAGGTGGTCTCTTCTCATCCGCTGGACCGCCTCCTCCTCAGTGAAGTCCATTTAAACGAGCTATTCTAGGACAGCTTTCTAAACACGCTCGGCTCTGAACCGCAAGGCACATCTGGCTCCCCGGGCTTCGGATCAGAAACGCTGGGTGGCTCTCCCTGGCTTTGTCCCTGAGGGTCCTGGAAGCTCCAGGAATTCGATCAGCAGGCCCTGCTGGTGCAGAACGTTTGGAGGGACCCCGCCAGATGAGACTGGTGCGCTCCAAAGTCACCGGGGCCCTTTTCTGGCAGGAGCACACGGTTTTAGCTGCCGAGCTGACATGCCGAGGCACATAAAGCCAGGTGGATTTCTCCGTCTCACACGGCGGACACTCGGCCACGGAGCTGGGAGCCTGGGGCCACTTCAAATCCACCACCAACAACAGGAGGGTTTGCGGTTGTCGAGTTTCGCAACCCAGCAGCCCTCCTGCGTGAGATACGGCCGGCTTTGAATGGAGGACGCCAAACCACGCCCGTGAATCAGTTGGCCGTTGACCACGGTGACTCAGTGAGGGAAACATGTCACCACCGCCACAGAAGGAGCTTCCTTGCCAAGCAGATGGTTTGGGTTTTGCCCATGAACTTCATGTGTGCTGTCTTAGTCTCGGAGACCACGTTCTGGCCGGCTGTGGCTGGCTGCTGGCATTCATACTCACAGGGCGCTGTGGCTTTCGGAGGGTCCGTGGCTGACCCCACACGCCAGGTGGGAGGCCACTGGAGGTGAGCGTGGTCCTTCTCAGCCACAGGCCACATCACGCCGGCGTCTGCACTTGCCAGATGGCACTGAGGGGCAGTGACCATGCCTGTCACCCGCTGGGTGGGTACCCACCAGGCGGCCTTTGCAGACGCTCAGCCTTTCTCAGGCCATGAGCTGCGGGTAGCTGTGGGGACACCCCACAGAGAGGGACCGTCCCAGACGGTTCCCTGGAAGGACATCTAGCCTCTACCCTTGGCCTTTCTCGGCAGGAACTCACCGTGAGAACCCATCATCCTTCCCTGGGAACCGCGTCAACAATGGGGGGCTCGATGTCACCCCGGGCCCCGACCGTCGGCTGCCCAGTCTTCACAGCCTCGTCTTTTGACACTAACGAAGGACAGGGTATTGGATTTTAAAACGTGGAATGTGTGGAGCTCAAACAGCACCGGTGTTTGGGGGCTTCACCGGGGAGGGGCTCCCAGAGTCCTCTGTCCTTTGCCTGGCAGACCAACGGCCCTGCCGGTGAGAATGGGCAGGGCGCTCCTCACGGACCAGCCACAGTCCCCTCTCGGCAGCCCCGGGTCTGGGTCACAGCACCTCGGAATGCGCCCCTGCCCCCGAATGGGGGCAGACGCCGGCCTTGGGACTGCTTTGCCGGTGACGGTGTGAGACCTGGCGCCTGACTTATGGGGACGCTTGGTCGGCTTTCGAGCGTGGGTGCAAAACGATGATTTAGAGGCAGACTCCTAATTACTTGCGTTCTGTATAAACGAATCCATCTTGGTCGCTGGGGAGGCACTTATGGCACGTGCCCGCTCTCTCTCTCAGGTGGAGCCGTGTATAAACGAGCAAATACTTCACAAACGACCCCTCACCCCACCCCCGCCGGGCGCAGGAAAGGTCATCAAAGGAACGTCTTTCCACAGAAAAGCACGGCACACCTCACCGTCAATTTTGGCAGCTCAGGAGAGGATGAGTATGCAAACCCACACCCGATGCTGCTGGCCACCGTGCAGGAATTAGAGCCCAAAGACCGTGACCGACCAGACACAAGGTGCTGGGGGCTACCTGGCCCGGCATCCCCCGGGAATGTAGTGGCCACCGCAGCACAGCCCGGCTGTCGGGAGCCCGGTGCCACACGATCCGTGGGGCCCAGACTGCCCCGTCCCCAGAGTGAGTTTTCACACCCACTGACACGCGGTTCAGCCCGACAGCACAGGGTGCCTACTCTCCGGGGCCTCATGTTGTAAAGCTTCCACTTCCTTCAGTGAGCAGAAATGGGGCCTTTCCCTGCTGCTTGGTGAGCAGCTGGGGGCAGAAACCAGAGACTCGGGGCAAAGTGCCTGGGCCACCGAGGGTGACCCCGTGGGTGGGGAGGAAGCCGGCAGTCAGTCACTAGACGAAGCTCGCTGTGACTTCCTGCGGAAACATGGCAGGAAAGGGAAGGGAGGAAAAGGGGACAGTCTTTGCTGAATGGCTTCAGGACCAGAGGCCATGGCAAAGGGGTCACAATAAGCCCAGGTCACGCACTTGACCCGCCAAGGACAGGCTGGCAGGAGCTGCTGTTCCCTTCCCAGTGCCCACGGCCCAACATTTCCCCGCCCAGTGAAGCTCAATTACAAACAATTAAACAAACCCTCCAAGGCAATGCCGTTGAACTGCCTTGGCAGCTGTGGGCACCGGCGCCCTAAAAAAATAGAAAACTTAGTTTTGTTTTCTTTTGCTCATGCCAGACTATGATGAACATTCTGATTCTGCTTCAGGGTTGCGTGTGACCT